AAATTGGTCCAGTAGATCATGAGATATAAGTATTTTTATCTTTGTGATTATATGCTTTTTTCTTTATTCAAAACTTTAAACATGTTTATAAACTTTGAACCTAGGTTCAATAGGAACCCTAGTTCTCAATAACTTCAAATAAAATTCCTACTATTATCCAAGCTTTAAGTATTTTTTGGTCAAGTCGATCAATCAAAGATTTTGGCAGTGGGCGATCAGATATAAAGTGAGTTGTTATAGCTATTTAAAAATTAGAATTTGGAAGACCAGAAATTTTTGATTTGCAAGTATAATTTGATGTTTTATTAGCCACTTTTTCTTTCCAGTATCATGATATTTGATCTGGGTATTTAGAACATTCATTTGCTAAGTGCGCTTCTAACTTAGCTGGCTTTTCTCTTCCCTAGTGATCATCACAATAATCACATGTAGCTTCATAATATCCATTACTTTTTTGTACTCCTCTTTTAAAATAGTTCTGCACTTCACCAAATGGTTTGGTTTTTTTTTTTTTATTTATTAAAGGCTGTGAGTTTGAAATATTTGCTGTTATATTGTTTTTCTCTGACTCAGAACTGGATTCTTCTTCAAGAGAATGAACTCTCTTTGGTAAATCTTTATTCACTTTCATAATAACAAAAATATTAAAACATATACATATGTGTATAAGTAATTATGCAAAGTAATGGTAGGTTTGAAAGTTTTTTTTTTGTTTAAATTTAAAATTTGATAATCAAGTAGACTTCCTAAATTGTATAACTCTAATGACCAAAAAACACATGTTATAACTATTGCTATTCGATTAATAATCTAAAAAAAAAATTAAAATCTTAATTTAGAATTTACTTGATGTTATTTGTATAGTTTAATACAACTCAAGTCTAAAAAACCTAAAAGCGAACCTAAAACCGAATATTATTTGAAAAGCTTTTTAAAAGAATTACAGATCAACTAAATATGTATAATCAAAACCTGTATTTATAAAATAAGTTTAAAATATTAATTGGTGATCCACCAGTCAACCAGAGAATGATTATAGTAAAATGTGATTCAAATTACTTATAAAAATTAAAGGTCTTCAAATGTGGCGTGCGCACATTTAAAACTTTTTTTATACTAAGTTAATTACTTTTCTAACTTAAGAGACTTTTGTAGAGCTTGTCAAGACACATCTAATGGTGGTTAGAA